TACCAGAGACTTTAAACTGGAGAATATAAAGGTGATCAGTTCTCTCTCACAGGTAGCTTCCATTTATACATGCCACCCGGTTGTGTAAAGCTGTACCTTTCCTGAAATGACACCGTTCTCCTTTGAAAGAGGTCTCACACCAAGCTTAGCTCTTTTCTTCTTACTCCAAACGTTTCAGCTGCTGCCAGTTAGGACCACGGACAGATTCAGATGCTCAAGAGAGAGTGAGGTTTGTAGCATTTGTTACTGCCTTCAATCTGCTAGAGCTTTTTTGGCACCCTCAGGTTCAGGCTATTTATAGCAAACATTTAGAATATGCTGCATTGCTGTACCGGGAGCGATGCTCTTGTATGACATTTCAGTAATCCCAAAGAGAGGGATGTGCTGGAGGGGGAGAAAGTAGGGCCCTATACTGTATAGCTATAGTCCTCATTATCAGAGAGGCCAGTTTTCCTAATGAAATTATGTAAAGGGTGAGTGTGAAGAGTGATGGGGCAGGGAGGATGCTGTGGGTGGGAGGCCATCTCTGGTGTAAGGCACACACCACTAGGCAGTGAAGGAAGCTCTGGATCTTCAACGCTTTCCTTTTCTCAGGTGTGCAACTCAACACAATGACATTCATTGAAATGTTTAGTGCTAAGTCCAACTGTAGTGAAACATAGACATGCCCGTCCCTTATAGCAACATAATTATTATATTTGCCGCCCAGAGTAGACCTTTGGTCTAGATGGGTGGGGTATAAATCTAAATGAATGAATGAATGAATGAATGAATGAATGAATGAATGAATGAATGAATGAATGAATGAATGAATGAATGAATGAATGAATGAATCTGTGTAGGTGAGATTTGGTAAGCCTGAAACATTAGAGAATCGTATCACCCTTATCCTAACTCAGAACAGGAGATTCTCGAATTCAGGAGTTGTACCCATGTTAGCCTGTGCAACCATTTCAACAAGAAATACAACACAAAACAAAAAAGGCATTGTGGCACCTTAAAGACTATCTACTGTATTTTAATATATGTTTTCATGGACCAGTGTCCAAAGAAACAGCATATGGCGATGTACAAAATGGCAGACTTTACCTTTGAGTCTTGTTCTGAAAAAATGGGTTTGGTAATGGAGAAAAAAAATAAGAGTGAATAACAACATAATTATTATATTTATTAATATTGTTTTTAAAAAAACCTTGGCTGATCCATTGATATGGGTGTCCAGTATCTCTATATATGCATTACCACACGTTGTTCCTTTATTGCTTCCTTTAATCATGCTGCTGTTAATAGAGCCAAGCTTCAAAAGAACTCCATACCAAACAGAGGGCTTAAAATCATTACTAGGTGTGAAATGCAAGCAAACACCACTGTTGCTTTATCTTAGAGCCTTGCTTGACTGTTTTACCATGTAGTCTCTGTATGCTAACTCATATGTCTGAAGACGTGGGCAACGTTCCATGAAAGCTGACATTGAAATACAGCCATTAGTTTTTATGGTGCCATGGCATCTTTTGGTGTTGTTGTGGAGTTTCTTGTTGAATTTGGGAGGTATCCTCTCTGTTTGAAAACCAAGTGCTGCTAAAATGACAATGCGCCAACATTTACTCAGAGATTATGTTCCCGCTTTCTATATCTTGTGCCCACTGTAGGCAGACTGTGGCAGCAAGGATGCCATGTCCTATTTTGCAAAAATTTCTCTGACATTTTAAGAGTACTTTGGGCATCTCTCTCCATGGCCACACTTCTGCATCCATTCCCTGGATTCCTTCATCTTTGTGAGTAGCACTGAAAGGAGAACTCTGCTACGTGAGTCTTCTCCCATTAGTGTGATCCAGTGCTTGAAAGCGATGTAGCAATTCCTTCTGTGTCCAAGTTGCCTTCTTGAAAGAGATGTAGTTCTTCCTACTGTTTCCAAGTTGCCTTCTTGCCCTCTTGGCTTGAAAAAATAGAGCAGCATCTCCCACAGATCACCTTTGCTTGAGAGTGCATCAATGCAAACGGAAGCAGCAGTGCTTCTGCTAATATTTCTTGTCAGTCAAGGACAACTACTGTATCGATGATAATAATAAAAGAGAATAAGTTTCTGGATCTCTCAAGGTGCTTCTTGGTGGTGCTTTTACATTGCAGTCACCCTGCCCCTGCTAATCTATAGAGAAGCTGATATTTGGAATCGTAAGCAAAATGTGATTCTCAGTGAAAAGAAGGTTTCATTAGAGTGAAATGCATAACTGGCAGAAAACATAAGACTGAATATGATTCCAGTGGTTACATAATTAGAGGAGAAGTGTGTGGAAAGAAGTGAAGTCAAACCTGGGAGTACAATAATTAAACTAGACATTATTGGCCATTAACCTGTTTTTCTTCCAGTGACATGATTTCCTACAGGTGCATGCCTCAGCAGACTTCCAATTTAAACCTATGTTTGCCTTCCAGTGACCAGAATGTTAAAGCCAAAATAAATGCAAGATAAATAGATGAGGAAAGACATCTGCAGTGACAAACAGATGTCTTTCACGACTTGAAAAAGTACCTCTTCTAAACATGGGATGGGCATGCTGTCTAGTTCCCCTCTCCCAGTCTATTGCTAAGGAAGCAACAGGGCAGACAATACAGAGAGGGACATAACCAGAGAATTCTGACTCTCTGTCTCTACCTCTGTGGGTCTTTAGAGGTCAACACTTGAACACTTTCCACTTCTTCACTGACTTTACTGTGGTGGAAGGCATGGCCCCACTTATAGTCATCCTCCAGTGGTCCCTGTCCCATCCTTTACCATCACTTCTCCCATATTTTTTTCAAACCATAAGAAATCTCTTCAATACATAAAGACAAAATAGCCGCGCAAGACCTTTGGACTGGTCGTGCTGAGAAGAAGTGAGCAATATAGAATGAGAAATTTTTTTAATATATGGGGGTTTGGGGGAAGCAAATAGACAGGTCACATCTGCTTAGAGCATTTTCTCTGCAGCTGTCCTCCAAAATGGCTCTGGTTTGCATAAACACAATAGCAAATAAGCTGATCTTTGATCTGAGGTTCACAAATGAAATATGCGTAACAAAAAGGAACAGGGAAACAATAGGAGAACAAGCAAAATCAGGCAACCCTTTTTTGGACAGAAGGAGCTAGCTGAGACCTGGGCAAAGTGCGGCCCAAGGGCCACATACAGCCTGCGATCCACTCCTGTCCGGCCCAAAAAGGTAAAGGTAAAGGTTCCCCTTGACAATTTTTTTTTGTCCAGTCGTGTTCGACTCTAGGGGGCGGTGCTCATCCCCGTTTCCAAGCCATAGAGCCAGCGTTTGTCCGAAGACAATCTTCCGTGGTCACATGGCCAGTGCGCCTTAGACACAGAACGCTGTTACCTTCCCACCGAGGTGGTCCCTATTTATCTACTCACATTTGCATGCTTTCGAACTGCTAGGTTGGCGGGAGCTGGGACAAGTGACGGGCGCTCACTGCGTCGTGTGGATTCGATCTTGCGACTGCTTGGTCTTCTGACCCTGCAGCACAGGCTTCTGCAGTTTAGCCCGCAGCGCCACCACGTCCCTTGCCTGTCCGGCCTACCGGACATCAATTTATAGCTTTTTGTCTAAGTTGATCAGTTGCTTATTTAACATACCGCAAAAAGCCTCTTTAGTATTTGTGAAGATTAACAAGTTTAAAATAAAAACAATCATAACATCACTGTTTCATTTTATTTTTAAGTAAAGTTGGTTCGGCCCCTGAACACAGTTCAGATTTTTCATGTGCCCCCCCCATAGAAATTAATTGCCCACCCTTAAGCTAGCTGGTCCATGGAGCAAGGGCCCTGCTTCCCATCTTTGCTGATGCTGCAACCTAAGTGAATGGTGGATTAGCCTGAACCCAGAGAGAAAGGAAGAGCATGATGGAGCTGGCCTCCAAACAAAGCTGACATGGGTGGCCATAGTCCTCCCCCCCCCTCATCTGTCAGCCATGACAAATTGGTCAGGTTGTAACTGTTAGAGATCATTGTGTGTTCTGACCAATTATCTTCAATGAGCTAAATTAAGTACAGAATCAAAAACATGGAGTTAACTTGTAATAACTTTAAAAGGTTTATTAACTACAGATGTTAGTGTTTCAGTAGCAAAGGTCAAAATATAGCATTCGAGTGAAAAAGAATGAAGGCATTTGTTTTACATTTTCCATGTAAGTTTCTTTAGTTATGAAGATTGTTTCTAAACTGGGTGAACCACCCCCTAAAGCTGCCTGGCATGGATGCAAGTCTGGATGGAGAGGGGCTGGCATGGATGCAAGTCTGGATTGAGAAGGAGCCATCAGATAGCATGAACTCAGACAATCTCCATCTTGGAAAAGGTCCTTCTTGAAGGAAGAAGACACACAAGAGAGAGGAGGGGCAGGAAGTGACCAATGCACAATAGCGCCCCGATAGCAGGCTAGAACTGAGTGATCGGCAGAATTACCCGCTGCATACTGGGTCATAAATGATCTGCATACTCCAACAGTAACAACATCTCTGCAGTGGAAGGGGGTAAGAACATCTCCCTTTCTTGCCCAGGACTCTCATGTGGTACTTCTGCCACAGCCAATGCTTTCCGTAGGTTACTGGAATTGCCATATTATTCCATCTAGAGTCATGCTTACCCCGTCATGCTTAACGATTACCCCGTATAACCACAAATCCGCTTCATGACGATGTTTTTGTGATCGCAATTACGATCGCAAAACGATGTTTTAAATGGGGTTTTTTTTGCTTTGCGAAGATCGGTTCCCTGCTTCAGGAACCAATTCTTTGCATTGCGACGATCAAAATAGCCCCTATGGAGGATCTTCGCTGGACGGTGAGTTTTCAGCCCATTGGAACACATTGAATGGTTTTCAGTGCATTTCAATGGGCTTTTTAATTTCGCTTTACGGCGTTTTCGCTCTACAGTGATTTCGCTGGAATGAATTAACGTCGTTAAGCGAGGCACCGCTGTATTAGGACTGGACTGACATCCCTATCTGGATTTTCCTTCAGCTTGCTGCACAAGTCCTCGAAGATAAAGGCATTGGCTTTGGATTGGTGGATTCCAAGAAAGATGCAAAGCTGGCAAAAAAATTAGGTAAGTGCAATCTGTTTATAATCTGGAAGGTATTGACTGTCTACATTCCAGAGGGAGATTCTGCAATCACATTTCCAGCGATCAAACAGAAATTACTATTTGCAGAGCAACAGCCAATGTCATGCTGTGTTTTCGGCATATACTATCAATATCCATGCTTCAATAGCCACTGCTTTGCTCAAACAGCCATGCCCATCTGGCCTCAGGGGTGTCTACTGCACAATTATATTATGTGGCAAATTCAAACTTTCAAACACAACAAGCTCAATCCTATCAATGTCAACAAAAATAGCACTGGCAATAACACCGGCAGAGAACTGAACCTCCATGAACATAAACCTGCTGTAATTCTATGTTATTTTAAAGTGACTACTTTGTGGTGGAGAATAGAGTAGCAGTTCTGCTGTTATCAGCAGCAAAGAGTCAACAGGCACACAATCATTTATTTATCTGAAGTATTTGCTTATCCCTTTTTTGCCTACCAGGTTCCTCAAACAATCTGCCACAGAAATATGGTCTTTGAAGAGCTGTACAATTCCATTTTTGTTGCAATATGAAGAGCACAAATTCTCTCAGTGGCTAAAGGGAGAAACAGAAAAGACAGGCAGCTTTGCATTTAAAAGTAGAAGTGACTTAAAATAGTAAAGGACATGTGATTGTCCTTGAACATTGCTTTGTCAGTTGCAGATTATCTCCCTTTTGTTTGGTCACCCCAGAGGAAGCAGTCAGTTCCACTTAAAAGGGGGAAAAAAACCCACAGCCATGTGATTCTTGTATGAAATGTAAAAGTGTGTGTGTGTGTGGGGGGGGAGAGTAATACCTTCATTGGGCCAGTAAAATATTCAGTCCAAATTGCCTGAGGTGACAATTCAAAGACAATTCATTCTACATTTCTTGAGGTGAAATGTGATGCTTTAAGATGTCTGGAATCTTTATCTTAGGATATTCCTTTAGCGCAGATCCTGATACTGCAAACATTTAGTCAGGCTAATTTTTAAACGAGGGGGGAGTAATACCTTCATTGGTCCAGTAAAATATTCAGTCGAAATTGCCTGAGGTGACAATTCATCCTGCATTTCTTGAGGTGAAATGTGATGCTTCAAGATGTCTGGAATCTCTATCTTGGGACATTCCTTTAGCGCAGATCCTGATACCGCAAACATTTAGTCAGGCTAATTTTTAAACTCTTCTCTTTCTTCCCCACCTCTTGCCAAGCTCTTCAGTACTCAGCCTGAAAACAGATCCAACACCTTTACACCTGTGATCGAATTCTCACTCCATGCCAGTGGACGTTTCATCTGTTGTATATTCCCGCAGGAAGACAGCATGCAGAGCTGGTTTAAGAACTATTTTGTGCTGTATTCTCCTAGAAATTTGTGAGACTTATAGTCTATGATATTGCCATAGATAGCGAGGTGGGCCTGCATCACAGAGCATTCACATGTTCTCTGTCTCTCTGCCCTCCACCTAGGTTTAGATGAAGAAGGAAGCCTCTACATCTTTAAAGAGGATCACATCATTGAGTATGATGGGCAAATGGCAGCGGACGTCTTAGTTGAGTTTCTCCTTGATGTAAGTGCAGTAGAAATAATCATATTACAGTTAGTATCCTTTGTAGCAGTGGTCCCCAACCTTGGGCCTCCAGATGTTCTTAGACTTCAACTCCCAGAAATGTGATATGATGGTTCACCTGCCCTTATTAAAATAAAACTCTTAGGACACAATTGCCACAAAACAGAAAATGTGATATGATGTAGTCATGTGTATGGAATGACATTCACCTGCCCTTATTAAAATAAAACTCTTATTAGTGATCTTTGGAGGACTAATTCTGTTTAGAACAGTGGGGCTGTGATCTTCTCTCTCTCTCTCTCTCTCTCTCTCTCTCTCTCTCCTTTTGCTTGTTTGGGGGTTTCTCAGAAGAACTGAATACCAAATATAGGTCATAAGTCACTGCCCATGTGAAATGCAACCATAAACCATTGCAAAATGGCAACAGTGTTGGGTTCTTTCCTGTGCAGAAACATGGGAGACAAGGCCTCCTCTCCTTCAGAAGTACAGGTGGCAAAGGAGTTCTGTGGGTGACGCCAAGCAGTTCATCATAAACGTGACCATCTTGACTGGGCTATAACTCCCATGGCTACTAACTATGTCAGCTGTGGTGTTCTGGAACTTGTCTAAAAATATAACTGTTTCAATCTTTGGCAATAGTTATTCTGTTGTGTACTGTTAATAAGTTGTTATTCTCCTTGTTCACGGCAGCTGATGGAGGACCCAGTGGAGATCATCAACAGCAAACTGGAGTTACAGGCCTTTGACCACCTGGAAGAAGAAATCAAACTCATTGGCTACTTCAAAGGAGAAGATTCAGAATGTGTGTTTGGTTACTCGATTCCTGGGTCTTGATCAACTGGAAGGGACTGGGAGATATTGTATACATTTCTAACTCAAGCTTTGTAGCTGGCCACCATAATTCTAGTCTGGATGTTCACACAATTGCTAATTGTGTAAACAATGCTACATTTATGTTGGCCTCAAATAAATAGACATAGTATTATTCTGTCAGTGAGGATCTTTTGCCAGGGAACAAAACCAGATATTGTTTAAGAAAACAGTGTCAGGCATGGTCTCCAAAACATTTCTCTCCACCCCCCGCCCCCGTACTCTGGGAGTATTATTCAGATCTTGTATTTCTAGTTTGTAAATGTGCACTAGATTGGTTGAAATTATTTATGTGTTTGTTAAATATTTATTTTATCCAGGCTAGATATTCAACAGGCAATGTGAGGAAAAATTCTCTACTCCAAATAGTGTATATCAGAATAATATTGGCTAAATTATACTTCACTGAACATCTGTTATTAAAAGTGGGAATTCCTTAATTGGAGAGAGTTTGCCCAGGCACAGAGATCTGAAGGAACTGTGTCCCTGGAAGGAAAATCATCTTCTGTCTTCAAAGTTAGCTTCTCCTTTAAGAGTTTCATGACCTTTGTTTATCATAGCATGAGCATGTTGCAAATTTGCTTGCTTTTGTTGTGTGATCAGTCATTGGAAGGTAAACAATGGCTGGGTTTGCAACAAGTCTGAACACTCAGACACAGAGATTTGAAGGAACTGTGTTCCTGGAAGGAAAGTCAGCTTATAACTACAAAGCTGGTTTCTTATTTAGCTGATAGAGATGGAAATATAGGCCATTCTTGACTACAGACACCTTGACTTTCCCACACACATCAATACCGGCCAATAAACGTAGTTGAGGGCCTTTACATCCACAGTACATATTCCTTACTTTTAGAGAGGATTCAATAGGATTTTCAGGAAGGTTCTCTGTCCTTTTAGAAGGATGATGCTTCAGTTTAATTTCACACTTGAAGAAGAGCTTGGTTGTAATTTCTCACTTACATTTGGTGTCATTCAGTGCATCTTAATGCTTGTGAGAGTCACTCCCAACTCCCTCAAAGCTTCATGTGTCGGCCTGACTGGGCAGTAAACAAGTATATTATGATGGCAGGATTGAGCAAAGCTGCTTGATACAGCAGGTAGAAGAACAGGAATATGCTTGTTTCCAGATCAGCTTCTGGGTTGCTATTGTTTACTGGTATGAAGGAAGGAGAAATAAATAAGAATTGATTCACATTATCACCAGCCATTGCAATTGATAGAAAATATACCAAAGAACTGGCAATATAAAATTCCCCCCAAAAAATTAAACTAAAATTGCCTGAGATGACAATTCAAATGGACCTTTATCTTAATAGCAGCCACTAAAATTTTTGCAGTTGATTTTCTCACTAAATTATCTTTGCAAAGAGAAAAGATGCACAGAAGCCCCAAAACAGGGGAGATAATTACTGTACATTGGACGATTCCCTATATAAAATAAAACAGAATTGTGACAGATGAGCCAGTGTTCTGCTACTACAATTTCCGTATGGGCAAAAGTCCAAACCATTATTGAATAATACCAGAGAGAGTGCTTTCTTGTTAGTTAGTTAGTTAGTTAGTTAGTTAGTTAGTTAGTTAGTTAGTTAAACAGAATTGTGACAGATGAGCCAGTGTTCTAATATTACAATTTCCGTATGGGCAAAAGTCCAAACCATTATTGAATAATGCCAGAGAGAGTGCTTTCTTGTTCGTTCATTCATTCATTCATTCATTCATTCATTCATTCATTCACTCATTCATTCATTCATACATTTTCTATTCTGCCCCATTATTTTGTACTGTATGAGGCCAGAACACTGGAAGGACTTGAGGAAAGCAGTCCTACTAGGGGCATAGGAAACAAAATATTCTGTTGGTGTGATATCAAAAAATGCCACTTTAATCCCTTGCTTTATGGAAACTAAGATTTATTATCTATTGTGAGGAGAAGCTGAAAAACCAGAACATTTAATTAATGGCGTTCATCCACCTGCTTTCATAAGAGTCAAACAGTAAAGGAGGCAGACCAGAAGAAGTTAAATTCACTCTAAACCACTAATTAACTATTCTAAGCCCAAGGCTTTGTAAAAATGGGGGGAAAGACCAGCTTCTAATTCTACAGAGGCATTTAAGATATAGTCTGAAACAGGAGAAAGAAAATTGGCCTGCACAGCTTCTACTGAATTTAAATTGGTGTCACTCCACATTTAAATTCCATAAAATTATTTAGCCAAACATTTTAGCCTTGGGAAGTTATGTAATAGAAGTATATACATACCCCCCCAAAAAAACTTCCATAGGGGAAGCACGCAATGAAAACATCCATGCTTCCCCATCTAAGGGAGGAGCCCAACCCTTTCTTATAGCTCAACTGTATTCACCAAACTAATAAAAACAACAAGCTATACTAATCACGCAAGTCCTTCTCCAGTCAGCCAGATGCTGGGCAGACTGTATGTCCAAAGATGGGGAAGTGGTTACTTTGCCCTGCCCATACAAGTTTCTGAAGGCTTACACAACTGTCTGTGTCTCTGCCCTCTGCTATGGAAGGAAGATGCTATTTGCTGGATGGCCCACAACTCAGCCTCTGGAGGTGATCGAACCGTCTCTGCCTCCTCACCATTGTGACTAGGTTGGAGTAGGAACCATTGGGGTGGGATCAGCTGGGGGGGGCGACTGTCCCCTCCTCTGAGCTAGGGCATCCCGTGGCCTACCAAAGCACAAGTCTTGTGGCATTTATTTAGGTGGTTTGGGTTGGGGCCACTCTAGTATTTCTACCCAGGTCCCCATTTCATCATCCTCTTCTCTCCTCCCCCACCATCACCAATTGTTCCCTTACTGCTTTCCCTTTCCCCTTTATACCCCCCCACAAGTCTTCCTTCTAGATTATTCTGACTCCTGCTCTTTGACTTGGACCCTGCTCCTTCCTTGTCCTCTGGATTCTCAGGGCAGACCCCCTCACATCATTTGCTCTTCCTCCACTTCCATTGAAAAAGTACCTCTTCTAAACATGGGATGGGCATGCTGTCTAGTTCCCCTCTCCCAGTCTATTGCTAAGGAAGCAACAGGGCAGACAATACAGAGAGGGACATAACCAGAGAATGCTGACTCTCTGTCTCTACCTCTGTGGGTCTTTAGAGGTCAACACTTGAACACTTTCCACTTCTTCACTGACTTTATTGTGGTGGGAAGCATGGCCCCACTTATAGTCATCCTCCAGTGGTCCCTGTCCCATCTTTTACCACTGCTTCTCCCATGTTTTTTCAAACCATAAGAAATCTGTTGAGTACAAAATAGCTGCGCAAGACCTTTATTATTATTATTATTATTATTATTATTATTATTATTATTATTATTATTATTATTATTATTATTATTATTATTATTATTATTATTATTATTATTATTATTATTATTATTATTATTATTATTATTATTATTATTATTATTATTATTATTATTATTATTATTATTATTATTATTATTATTATTATTATTATTATTATTATTATGTAGTAGTAGTAGTAGTAGTAGTAGTAGGAGCAGTAGCAGTAGCAGTAGCAGTAGCATTAGTATTATTAATAATAATTGTATTTATACCCCGCCTATCTATTCATTTCGTCCACTCTAGGCAGCTTACAACATAAAACATAACAAGTTCAAGAAAAACTTATAACAATTAATTAATTAAATGATTTTGAAATGGGAAAAATACAAAATAAATCAAATAAAGAGAAGAAAAAAGGAAAAGGACAGGAATTAACTGGAAGGGAAGGCCTGCCTATACATCCATGTTTTTAGTTGGTTCTTAAAAGTACCCAGCGAGGGTGTAGCGCCAATCTCTGGAGGTAGGTTATTCCAGAGGCGAGGAGCCATCGCCGAGAAGGCCCGGTTTCTAGTTCTTTCCTTTGGACTGGTCGTGCTAAGAACTCTCAATTCTGAGTCTTAAAACTGCTGGAGAAGAAGTGAACAATATAGAGCGAGAGTTTTTAAAGAATATGGGGGGGTTGGGGGAAGCAAATAGATAGGTCACGTTTCCAGAAAGGTCTTTGTTCCTTGTCCAAGTTTCCAGAAGGTTCCAAGCCTCTCACATTGTTTTCTCTTCCACCACTTCCATTGGTGATTCGGGCAGGGTTGGTGGCTTTGCTGTCAGTGCTGTGGCCACTTTCCAGTGCTAGGGGTATCAACTGAGGGCTGTTTGGCGTGGAAGACTCAGGGGATGTTCAAACACTGGGACTCACCAGGACCCTTCACAAAATATCAAATATTGACCCTCCCTTGTTAAAAAAATTAAAAACCCTTTTATTTAAATTGTAATGAGCTACCAAACAATTTTCATCATGTATTCTTGTTGAGCTACATATGCTCCATATGACCTGAAACCTGTGCCCAGATCTTTTAAACTTCTGACTTGTTTATCCAAATGCCATTTCATGAAATGTATGTTATTCAGAGAAAACCATTTAATTATAGTAAAATTTGAGGAGGGGGGAAGTTGTGTGTGTGTGTGTGGGGGGGTTTACAACTTCCAGAAGATGACACGGGCCTGTCTGGCTAAGGCTTCTGGAATTTGTAGACTGAAAGATAAACTTCCCTCATTTCTGTTTTTTCCATGAGTAGTGTTCTCACCCCCATAGTGTTTGATAGTAATAAAGGGTTAAACCGGGGGAAGCTGGTTTGATTTAACTTTCAGAAGGTGACACCATCACTTGTATTAATCTTGCTTAAAGCAGACCAAAGTCTTTTCTCTCCTTTCTCCTCCTCAGATTACAAAGCATTTCAGGAGGCAGCTGAACACTTCCAGCCCTATGTCAAGTTCTTTGCCACCTTTGACAAAGGGGTAAGCAGCTAAAACGCACACACACATCAAGAACCCCACAAAAAGAGGTGAAGGACAAATTTTTAACCAGTTGGCAGAGCCTAAAGTGGCCCATTAGATTCATGTGGCTTAAGAGACATTAATATCAGTTCTACTTAGAACCAGAGTCGGGAAGTAACGCATTACAGATAACATAGGTACTTGTAATTAATTATTTGGGTGGTAACATAGATCCTGGATAACACTGATCCTGTGCTAGTCAATATTTTGATTGATAACTTGGATGGGGGGGGTGCAAGAATATTTATCAAATTTTCAGATGACACCAAATTGGGTGAAATAGTTAATACCTTGGAACATGGCAAACTTCCTAACTGTTAGAGCAGTACGACAGTGGAACCAGATACCTCGGGAGTTGATGAGTGCTCCAACACTGGAAGCATTCAAGAGAAACTTGGATAATCGCCTGGCAGATATGGTTTGATTGTATTCCTGCATTGAGCAGGAGGTTGGACTTGATGGCCTTGTAGGCCCCATCTAGCTTCAGTTTTCTGTGATTCTGTGGGAATAATATTAAAAATATATTGATAGGCTTGAGCACTGGGCTAAAAGCAACAGAATGAAATTGAACAGGGATAAGTGCAAAGTTCTACACCTAGAAGGGGAAAAAAATCGCAGTTATAAGATGGTGGACACTTGGCTCAGTAATACTACACACAAGAAGAATCCTGGATTATTGTAGATCACAAGCTGAATATAAACTATAGTGCAATGTAGCTGCAGAAAGCTGCATCTACAATAATATAGTCTTGTGATTATACCCATAAATTACTACCCCTCCTCTGTTTGGCACCAGTTAGGTCTCATCTTGAGTACTGTGCCCAGTTCTGGACACCACACTTTAAGAAGGATGCCAAACAACTGGCACATGTTCAGAGGAGGGCAATAAGGAGAATTGGGGACTAGAAACCAAGCCCTACGAGGAAAGACTGAAAGAACTGGACATGTTTAGCCTTGAGAAAATAAAACTCAGTGGGAGCACTTTTCAAATACTTGAAAAATAGTCATACAGAGAAGGAGCAGAATCTGTTCTCAATCATCCTGGAATGCAGGACGTGTAATAATGGGCTCAAGTTACAGGAAGCCAGATTTAGGCTGAATATCAGGAAAATCTTCTTAACTGTTAGACCAATACAATGGAACAAATTACCTCGGAAGATGGTAGGCACTCCGGTGCTGGGGGCCTTCAAAAGAAAATTGGACAACCACCCGACAGATCTAGTTTGAGTTCGGTTCCTGCATTTAGTAGGGAGTTAGACTCAATACTGTAGCTTTATGGACCCTTTTCAACTCAATTATTCTGTGATTCTATGTTTCAGAAGAAATGCTGTATGTAGAATCTGAGTTACTTTACTGATGTAAAGAGCATCACATTCTAGTAATTTTGAAAAGTTACTTTTAAACACATCTGAATAGGAATTTTTAAGGGTTGTGCCATTCTTTGAACACTACAATAAATAATGTAACACTGCAGCGACTAATGACGATGGATTGCTTTTCAAAGACCATAATAAACGATTGAAACAACGTTACTTTTAAAAAGTAACTTACAGCTCCCAAACTGTAACTTAGATATTAAATGCCATTCAGTTTGCCTCAGCTGAGTTATGCCATGCTTGTATGGAATTTCCACTGCCAAGGAGCTAAATATGTGCAGGGCAGCTGGGATGGGCAAAATGTATCAGCCATTTCTAGTGTTAATTTGTAGTATAGCTGAGTGAAATTTCAGAAGGGTGTGGGGGGGGTATTTATTTTGCATTTCTCTTAGATCATTTAATTCATTTTTCATTTTCTTTTCTGAAGACACATACCTTTGTCTTGAATTGATCTGTGTTTCCTTCTTCATGTGGAATCATCATTCTTTCATCTAGACCTATTTAATTCGTGACTTAAAGGTGTCCCTCTCTGGTATCCCCACCCCTTCGGAAGAGAGGTGTGCAATGACTTGGAAGGAGTTTTTTTTTTCTGTTTTAAGGTTCCCGAGCTCTTAAATGTTTTCAGACACCAGGATGACACCAACCAATCTATGAGTGGACTGTTCTAGTGCATGAGCAGATTCTGAATGCAATTGTGGCATATTTTTGTTGACAGGCAAACACCTTTTTATTTATCCTGCCTCTTCAATACTAGTTGTTTTCATGTTTCTTAGAGCCTGTTCCAAGTGGGGACATGGTAGGAAGGATGATCTGAAAAATCTCCTGTGCCACAATGCAAGCAATTTTTCTGGGCGCTCTTCCAACCATTTTTTTTCTCCTAGGGTCAGCTAGAGCAAAGCATTTTCTTAAATGGAGAGTCACGTGTTCAGCAGGCTCCGCTTTTACTTCTTCCGGCATTTGCTGTTAACACTGCCAGGACCTGCTTCTCCTCTGATTTCTCTCCTGCTTGTGGAGGGAGCAGAAATGTCACTAGGGCCGTTGACCCCTCTCTAGCCCGGTGGCAGTGGGAACGGTGGCTAGATGGTAGGGACGGTGCTCATTTTTGGCCGGCTTTTAAGTTTTGGTGTCAGTGCTAATTCTGATGTTTATATAATTATATATATTGGCTTATAGAACTGAAATAAAAATTAAGTGCTAAAAAAATTGCATGCAAGTCTTCCAGTTTCAGTTTTGCTCTGTTCTATTGCCTTTTAAAGCACCTTTGTTTGTGATGAGAAATCTGCAGCCCATGCGTCAGATAAAAGCACTTGGATGGGGGGCGGGAGAGGGACATGCAATAAAAGCACTGCAGCACTGAAACTTTGGTGCAGTCATAGCTTGCATATTTCTTGTGCAAGGCATGTTTTTCAGCGAAGGAATATTTGCCCTTTGTTGATTTCCTGCAGGTGGCAAAGAAATTGGGTCTGAAGCTAAATGATGTGGATTTCTATGAGCCGTTTATGGATGAACCTGTCCGTATCCCTGACAAGCCATATACAGAAGAAGAATTGGTTGAGTTTGTGAATGAGCACAGAAGGTACGGAATGTGGCAATTGGGAGTGTTGTTTGTATAGCCCAGGGAGTTCACCTTGGCATCCAAGGGGACGATGGATTAGAAACCCTTTATGTCCTTTCTGAGAGTCAAACTAGTTGGGAAAGGAAGTGAATTGCCTGATTAAAATATCCTTCCTCCAACATCTCAGTTCCCACAGAGAGAAGTGTTTGAGCAATCAGACTTGCCGTTAAAGCCTGTGTTTACCTTCCCATGGCCAATGATAAAACAAAGCTGGCTGGAGTAGAAAGCATGTGCTTCAGCAATGACACAGTTCTGATGTTATGCTGACTATGATCTAAACTGGATGACACAGCTAGTACATTATTAGAAACAGAGCTCCAATGAGAAGTAAAAAGAGGTCTGTTTATCCTAGAATGAGCTTGCCTCACTTTGCATGCAGCAAATTGGCTCACTTTTTTGTGCATGCTTGGTCTTTGGGTGGTAAGCACTTTATCTGCTAGTCTGATTGCTCAGATACAGAGCTTGGAAGGAAATGCATATCTGGAAAGAAGACATTATAATAGCCGGATATGCAAATTATCAATGTATGATTTGGGTCTTAAAAAATCTCTGGACTGTGAGTATGGGAGTGAGTTTATCACTGATTTGTGCTTTGTAGGAATTAGGTCGTATAGTGACTTCATGAGCAGGAGGGAAAGTCAGAGAGAAAAGGTAGCCGTGTCGACAATTTAAAAATTCCAGGATCCATGTTAGTGCATGGAGTAATCCTTTATTAAAGGTAAAGGTTCCCCTTGACATTTAGTCCAGTCATGTTTGACTCTAGGGGGCAGTGCTCATCCCCGTTTCCAAGCCATAGAGCCAGCGTTTTTCCGAAGACAGTTTCCGTGGTCACGTGGCCAGCACAACTAGACACAGAATGCCGTTACCTTTCCACCGAACTGCTACGTTGGCAGGATCCTTTATTGGGGCAACTTAAATGTCACCTAAAATGTGCAGTCTTTTGAGATCCCCAGATCTCTTCAGCAAGAATTACACAAAGCTTGGGATGGTGGTGGTGGTGGGAGAAAAGATTAACTGGATGGTAAACTTACAGCATCTGCTCTGATCATGCAGCCATGATGATTTTGAGGCCCAGTCATTCTCATTTCTGCACTTCACACAACTCCACCCTGCTTTTATAACATCCTGCCTGCTGTGGTGATCTGGAGATGCCAAATTGTTGCACATTTTTGTGACCTTCTGTGAAAGGAAAGGTTAACATTCCTTAGGAGACATTTGGTAATCCAGAACAAGGACTTGTTGGTAGACCAGTATTTTCTGAAATCCATGATGTCAGTCAGAGGGAAACAAAGTGTTGCTGACAGGCCCACAAATTCAGTCCATTCACAACATTATGATTTACCAGTTATTTGAAATATAATTTCCAAAAGCCTTTGTCATATGCTGGTTGTCTCCATAGAGGTTGACCTTTTCAATATATGCATGTGGTAGGTAGACAGACAAAATTGCTTTGTAAATTAAGCTTGATACTTACCCTCCTCCTATTGTTGTTTTTGAGATTAAAGGGAACTGTGCCTCAGAGACTGGACCCAGACCTGCCATCTTAGCTGATAAATGGCCATAATGTTGCATTGGGTAGTTCAATAGTTGATACTGGATTCTGGTCTGCTAGTACAATGTTGTCTCTCTAGAGTCTGATTTTGCTAAATAAGGTTAAGATCATAATCCTCCAAAACGAAGATCTGCTGATAAGACCAAAGTCTCCTTGTTTTTCTTACAGAGCCACGCTGCGCAAGTTGCGCCCAGAAGATATGTTTGAAACCTGGGTAAGTGTGTTTAGATATGAGGGGTTATAAACTCTACATAATGCTCTGATGAAAATGTGTCTGGACTGGTTCTACAACTTCCAAGGGGACTCCAGAAGCTATCGATATCATCCAAATTGTTTCTCATTTGCTCCACAAAACTCAGTTCATGTCTATTTAGAAGTGCCTTTCCTGCAGGCAAATGGAGTTTTAGAATGGCTTTGATAAACAGCTATGTACAGATGTACAGGTTGAGGAGAACTGGTTAAGAAGCAATAAAGGCTAAGAGAATGGCTTCCCAGATAGGATCAACATCCATCTCAACATACAAAATTGCACATATAGGCGCTATATTGTATTTATACCATGTTGAAATACCCAGAGATATCCAGTGTGGTGTAGTGGATAGAGTGACAGACTAGGATTCTAGAGAGCAAGGTTTGAATGCCCACTTAGCCATGAAAACTCAATGGCCGATTGGAACTGGTAAAACCTTTCCTTAAATATATTTTCATTAACCTTGAAATCCCTGTTAGGGTCACTGTAAATTGGTTCTGACTTCACAGCATGTAACAACAACAACAGTAACAACAGATATAGCTGATGGTGATGGGTGATGGAATTTGCAATCCCACACCATCTTCAGAGCCAATCCAAAGGCTATTGACCCCATTTTATAACTAAGGTGCTTCAGAAAGAAAGGCCCTGCGTGCTTAAAACTCAGGGGCAGCTTTCCCCCTGAGAGCACCAGTGTATGCAGGATTTTAAGTCTAATGACACTGAAAAGGGATGTCTATTTAATTGAACAGAAAAGAGGAAGAAAACAGTATCAGTATTTTGAAAATGTTTGCCAATACATTAGAGTGTTTTAAGGGGATAAAACTTCATTTTCCAAACTTCTCCTAATCCCTCAGCCTCCTTGAATGTTCATTGTGATTGATTCGCAATGGGTCTCAGAGGAGCCATTAGAGAAGGCCAACAAGGAAGCATTCAAGACAAGGAAAATGGCAGCCATTTTACATTCGCCATGGATTATTCCCAGTGGGAAAGGCAGGATGTTTCCTAGGGCACCTGAGCAATCATGCTGCTCTTCTACTCATGATCTGCTTGTGCCTCTGTGCCCAAGCTTGGAAGTAATGACTTATATGAGTAATTTTGTTATCTGTAACATTTCAAAAGTAATACAGTGAGAGGGGATTTTATTGGGGCAAAGTTTTTTTCTAATTCCTTTTAAGGCTTTATGTTGTTCTCTTATCAGTCATTTTAAAACCTCCAATAAAAGCAAAGGGGGAAGACGTGCTCAAAAAGAAATCTCATTAATGTTGCAATGAGTAATGAGAATTATTTTTCAAACACTCTTAACAAGTAATGGGATTAATTAGGTTGTTTTTTTAAAGGTTAGCTGTACAAAATATGGGAGTCCCAGAGCTATTTGTTGGGCCACTACTAGAACAGAATTCTGGCCTTTGCCCTGATCCAAAATAGTTTTTCATCTGTCCTAAAAATATATATACTGTATATATATTCATTTGTCCTAAAAATATATATAAAGTATATATATTTGCTGCAAGGCTTTGAAGAGGGAAAGACACACCAGGAAAAGGAGGGCACAGTGGGCCATGGGCTCTTTAAAGACAGCCCCCTGCTGGCAAGGAGGAGCAATGGCATTAGATGGGGCAGGTGAGGGGCTACGCATGCCCAAATCCTGGCACCAGCATCTTGGTTGAAATGATATCACCTAAAATTGCTGAGGTCAGGCTCTGCTTGGCACTTTGGAGACCTGACCCAGGCATGAAGCAATTCCACATTTTGCAGAAGAGATGCCATATATGTAAAATCCTAGATGTGTGATGGAACAGTGAGATTTTCAGCAGAAGCACAATCTGCACTGGCTTTTGTTTTCCATCCACAGCTGCAACCCTGATGTAATCCTTACTTTACTGCACTGGGCCTTGGAATAATGTCCCCACTGGCACCTTTCTGAACAGCTGACACCCTCTCCCCATGCACTGTTATTCTGAAGCAAATGGAGAGGCCATGCACTTGAAGTTCCACTGTCTGCATCTCCATACATACTAGTAAAGCATGCAAAGGAACATAACTGGCAGGGTGACCGCGTGCTTTTCCTTTAGATGCAGAAGGTCCCCGTTTTGGTCTTTGCCAATTTCCCTTACAAGGAAATTGCAGGGCTTGGAAGGATTCTTTCTTGAAGCCTTTGGGAGCTGTTGTTGGCCAGTGGGGTTTGCCTCAGTATAAGAAGTCACTTTATGTGGTACTTGTACCATTGTGAGCTTAATAGCAGGTTTTGCTCTTCAGATGGCCTAGAAGATCTTTGGAAACTGAACCCAGGTTTTGTTTTATTGCATCAGAGGGAAGAGTCTTTGCCCTTTGTTTGATGAGTTATCGACTGTGGCATTAGGCTTGAGCTGGCAATTGTCTTGAGGGGAGAAGGGGAGAAGGAGAAGAAAGAAGCAAGCCACACACTAATTTCCCCTGAATTCACTTGTAAATCTGCTCCAGCCATCTCCCTCAAAAGCTGATTTTCCTCTGGAAGCCAGGGGAAGCTTTGTTTTTATCATCGCCACCCCCCACCCCACCCTGATGTTTTCCACTTATTCTTTTAGCTCTTCATTTTATAGGGGTTCTGTCACTTGTGGACTCTGAGGGGAAAGAAATTAGCATTTAGATGGATTTTTTTCCTCTTGCATTAATACCAATTGAAATTGAAAGCTCGGATTGGTGGAAGACAAGGAACATGAGGGTTTTTCATGGTGTAATTCCAAGATGACATTCATAGCAGGTGCGCAATAAACTGCCTGACGGCTGCCAACTAAGATGGCCTCTGCCAGTACAGTTTTCACTGTGCCCAGTTACTGACGGCCTTGCTGCCAGTTCTGTGGCTTTTAGGAAGAACACCCAACCCAGATTTATTTTTTTAAATGCCAAACTCTCCAAAGTCTCTTTTGCTTTTGTTAGTTGATATAGATGGCCCTGCAATACCTGTGTACTACATCTGTGACGCCGTTGCTTCTCATTTTTAGGAACTTATGACTGGAAGTTACAAATGTCTGTCCCATTAAAAAGACCTCCCTAAGAGGAATTTGGTTACTATGCATTTTTCTAAATAGTCCTTTTGCTCTATTTATCTTGATGAGCGATCAAGATCTTACCCAAACATCTGAAACGTTGGGTGGTTTTGGTCTGTGCAGAGAGAGAAGACCAAACAATCATCATTAGAAGAATGAACTTCTTCAGGGCCGAAAATGTTTGATAGTCATGGTAGAGTCTTTTCACACCTCCTATAGTGTGTGAATTAGCAATCCTTTTTTGTGTGTGATTTATCTGCTTGGCATAAACATGGGCTTCAGTTGAATGCCATGGTTCTGAACCAGTGCCTAAACGGGCTGGATGAGAACAAACAGAAACTTAATCCAGATAAGGCAGAGGTGCTTCTGGTCAATCAGAAGGCAGATCAAGGAATAGAGATACAAGCTGTGCAGGATGGGGTTACACTCCCCCTGAAAAATTGGGTTTGCAGCTCGATTGTACTTCTGGATTCATCCTTAAGCCTGGATGCCCTGATTTCAGGATGGCCAGGAGTGCACAGTTGCAACTGTTCCTTGAGATGTCTGACCTGGCTGCAGTGACACATGTCTTTGTTGCATCTTGCTTGGATTACTATACTGTACTCTACATGGGGCTGCCTTTGAAGATGGTTCAGAAACTTCAAGTGTTTCAAAATGCAGCAGCCAGAGTATTGACTGGGGTCAGTTACAGGCGGCATATAACACCCCTGCTACAACAACCGCATTGGCTCCCAGTCTGTTTCTGGGTTCCAGTTCAAAGTGCTGGTCATTACCTATAAAGCCTTATATGGCTAGGGTCCAAGCTACCTTAATGACCATGTCTCTTCATGTAAGCCTTCTCGGTGCTTAAGGAGACCTTCCTCTCGGTCCAGTTGCCACTGCAGGCATGGTTGATGGGGACACAAGAGAGGGCCTTCTCTGGGGCAGCTGCTAGGTCATGAAATGCTCTCCCTTCCCTTGTTATCCTTCTGCCGACAGCTGAAGACCCACCATTTCAGACAGGCTTTTAACAATCACAACTGAATCCCTGGATGCTATTTCTTTAAAACTAAGATAGTTTTTAATCTTTTACATGTTTTAAATTATTCAGTGTATTTTAAGCAGCCTTATAGTTTAATTGCACTTTAATATCTAACTTATTGTGTTTTAAGTTCTTTTCTTTATAATACTGTGAGCTGCTTTAAGTCAGGAAAAATGAAGCCTACGTATAAAGAAGACAAATAAAAACCAACCAACCGATAAATGTATGATAGCTCGATTGAAAAGGTCTGTGTCAATCATGTATCTGAAAGACTAATAGTTTTTGCTGATTGGTTTATTAATCAATAGGTTGCCCCATAGATACAGGGAAAGAGACATGAGTTCACTGAAGCTGTGCTGCCCTTTGGATACAGCTCAGTTACATATGTAATTAGCCATAGCGCTACTTATCTAAAGAGTCTGTGTGCTCCTGAAGTGTTTTGCCTACATATTTGAAAATTATGGTTCAATGACATGGTAAGCCTCCAGTGCTCTGCCATAAATTCTGTAGACTGGCCTTGGACTGTTCCACAGTATCATTTCACAATTGCAAATCCACCGTGATGGATCTCAAAGCAGTCAACGCTGCAAAGGAAGGCTTTTTCAAAACAGGAGATTAAATAAATGGTTTATGACCAGAGGCCATGTTTGAATGCAGGTCTGCTCCATGTTGACTGTAACTGTCCACAAGTCATTGTCTTGGGGCCACTACAGTGAGGAAAGGGAGTTTTGACCCTCTCTTTTTCTCTTGCATAGCTCTGACAGAAGTCATTTGCTGCTTTTCCCTGCCAGTGGAGTAGCTCGGTGTTTGTCTGGGATACTTTAGTCATCTGGAATAGACCCACTTGCTACGGAAAGAGGCCGTATGGATAGCGTGAACCAATTTAGATGCCATTTGCACAAAAGTTATATAGTTTGGAAAGGTCTGGACCCCTAAATTAGAGCCTCTGCCAGCGAATTTCAGATACCTTGAAATGCATCACCTTGGCACTAATCGTTAGTGGAGTCAGCAACGAATCCAAACAAGGACAATATTTTTTGGTGGGGCCCATGATTACAAAGGATATCAAGCTAATTCCATGCATTAGAACATTCTTGTCCAGCTCCCTTCCAATTTATCCCTGCATCCTCTTTTACCTTCCGCAGTCTTTATACAGTGACTTTGTGTGTTTATCTTGGTTATGGTGGCAGCTTGCATGCTGATGCTTTCATCCTCTGGCTGTGAATGAACAGCACTGAATTCAATGGGTTGTAATTCTAAGTGGACATGTAGGGGAATCAGTTTAAATAATTGAAACTATAACCATAGCAACAGAAAACACTTTGCAACCCCTTTGGAGGTCCCAAACCCGAGGTTGAGATCCAGTGCTTTAGAAGATCTGCCTTTCCATGTCTTTGCCTTCCTGTTAGTAGAGTCATTAATACTTTTTTTTCCCTGTCCACAGGAGGATGACCTGGATGGAATTCACATTGTGGCATTTGCTGAAGAAGACGACCCAGGTAGGAGATGTATAGACCTTTCCTGAGCCTCACGTAAAACGAAGCAACACTGTATTCTTTGCTCTATGGAAATATATATATATGGGCAAGAGGAACTTAAAACAAGTTATCATTTCAGATGGTTTTGAGTTTCTGGAGGTTGTCAAGCAAGTTGCCAAAGACAACACAGACAATCCAGATTTGAGCATTGTGTGGATTGACCCGGATGATTTTCCTCTGGTGAGTGGACAGAAGATTGTTGTAATCACAATTTCTCTAGCACATTTATATATATACAGAGAGGATTCTATCGAAAATAAATACACCTGCCTGATGAACCCCTGTTCAGGGATATCCATTTGGTTAAAGCAAGCCATCAAAATCAAACACATTGAATGCATTAATTGAAATGTAGCATCCATGATGCATGGGAGGAGTTCCATGACGGTGCAGAATCTTGCACTATCCAAGCCGATGGGAACAACTGCTGGCCAAATTCCCTTCTGTTTCCTCAGGTCCATAAACATATGAGAAGAGAGAAGTGCATGGGTCCTGCTCCCCCCCTCCTAATCTCCGTTGCCCTCTTATTGCTTTCTGTTGATTTTTCTCAAACTGGGAGCCTCATTTATCTGTGTACTCTCTCTCCATGAATTTCCCTTGCGCTCTGAATTCCAAACCATCTGGAGGAGGAAAGTATTTGGAGTTGGAGGAGAACCACTGTCTCTTTCCTGCTTCCACTGAGCATAAGCTGCCTTGGGGGCAGAGCTGATGGTCAGGAAGAGGGGAGGCCCCCATGTTTAGTTTTGAAGTGGGTAGACCCAGTGTCCCTTCCCAAAACAGGCCATGTCAGAGAACACTCTACAACTCAAGCTTTGACAGTGGCTTTGGCCTTAGGGAGATTCTTGGAGCTGAAGGTCAAATGCCGTTTTTAAAGAGGTGGGCAGGTTGTAGAAGATGTTCTGGAGCTCAACTTGGTTCAGATTAGGCCTTACTTAGATCCTGCAAAACCGCTGAACAGCTGCTACTCCTGGAAGCAAAGGTGTAACTAGCAACTTTGGTTTCTGGAGTAATTCATACCATCCTCTATCCACTGTGCCCTGAGTGTCGTCCCCCTGCCCCCATACACAGTTTTAAGGTCAGGTAGAGGTCTGGTATGCCATGTAGGCTTTGCATCCAGAACAGCACATTCACCTCAAGTGACTCTGTTTGGTCTGCCTCTTAGGGAAAAAAAACAAAGCAAAGAGGAGAAAAATCTCTCTCCTTGTCTCTCCTGTCGCCTCCCACTTCTAGGATGAAGATTTCAATTTTCAACATTTTTCTCTAAGAGGTACAGCACACAAGCTCTGCCCTAATTAGCATGAGAACAGATTGGTTCTCTCCAGCTAAGATGTCAGAAATATATATATGCAAGAGCCCCTTCCTGCAGTGGACCAAACCGCAGACTAAGTGCTCATGTCATCACTCTCTAAGTTACAGCCTTCTCTGGAAGGCTCCGAGAATGGTGACCAGCCACTCAGAATAGGCAGCCTCGGCACCCCAGACAGCCTTCAACACCAGCTAGCTTTCAAAACCAGAAGGCGGCTTGCCCCAATTTCCCTGTTTGTCCTGTGGGAGGGTGGGGTGGTCTCCATCCTTGGCGGCCCATACAGCCTCCAGAGGATCCCTTGGGCAGAACGTGGATCCGAGGACTGGCCAATCTTGTCCTCTCTATTTCTCTTACAATGGGAGCACCTGCCTTGTTTCCCATTTGCTTTCAACAACCCCCCCCTACCAATTTGTCCAACTTGATTATGTTTTCCGGTTCGGCTGGCTTTTGCATTGTCGCTTGGGATATTTAATACAGGATTGTTCGCAATATGAACCTGATGTGTTCACTGGATAGCCATGCTTCCCTCTTCTTTCATTCCGCCAGCTCATCCCGTACTGGGAGAAGACCTTCAAGGTTGATTTATTCAAGCCACAGATCGGAGTCGTGAATGTCACAGATGTGAGTATCAGCAAAGCTGGAGGACTGAGGGACAAAGTACAGTAATCTGTGGCCCACTCAAAGCCCAGGAACATTGCTTATTTGTTGTTGCCTGTATACCCACTCTTTCTCCAAGCACGCGACTACAGTATACAGAATCATAGACAGGGGTCTCGGGAACTCTCCCCCCAGTTACTTCCTGAGCTCAGGGCCCCCAGCTACTTGAGACAAAATATCATTAGAAGGTGAATTCCTTTAAAAAAGCTAACATGAAAATGATTTTTTAAAGTGAGCTTCTTCCTGTTTTTAATTGGTCATATGGAGATAACATGGCAGGACTAATGGCCTTGAAGGGTTTGTCTGCCTAGAGGGGACATACTATAAGAAGAACTACCAGGGGTGTTCGTTAAGTCTTTGGACCCAAGTGCCGAGTCCAAGTCCTGAGTCTTTGTTACCAAGTCCCAAATCCCAGGCCTCAAGTCCAAGTTCCAAGTCTCTGATGGAGACCGGGGGGAGGGGAACATGTGCATATGCATGCATATAAGCAAGAGGCTTGGCTTCCCTTCCCAGAACAGGGCCTTGACTCTGCACATGCTCAGAAGCAGTGGACTTGGATACTGGGAGGGAAAGCAAGCCTGCTGCTTGCTTGCTTGCTTGCTTCTGAGGACAGTGGTGTGTGGCGGCAGCAGAAGCAGTTAGGTGCCGGCGAGGGGAGGGCTTGACAAGCGACCTGGAAAAATGAGTCACAAGTTGAGTGTGAGTTGTTGGGAGAAAATCCCAAGTCAAGTCCAAGTCAAGTTGCTGATGCAACTGAAGTGCGACTCGACAGCAAGTTGCAAGTCCCCGTCCCTGGGAAAGACATATTCCATTTAATATGTGATTTCATCACATATTAAGTCTACTCTCAGACTTCGGTCTAGATGGGCGGGGTATAAATTTAATAAATAAATAAATCATCCTCCATCATGATCAAATAGAACTATGGCAGTGTTTAGGTGGTGATCATTTCTGTGGTGGACATGTGGCAGCAGCAGAAGCAGTTAGGCGCCGGCGAGGGGAGGGCTTGACACAAGTTGAGTGTGCATCGTTGGGGGAAAATCCCAAGTCAATTCCAAGTCAAGTTGCTGGTGCAACTGAAGTGCAACTCGACAGCAAGTCTCAAATTGCAAATCCCCGTCCCTGGGAAAGACACATTCCCCTTAATATGTAATCTCATCCTCCATCATCATGACATAGAACTATGGTGGTGTTTAGGTGGTGATCATTTCTGTGGTGGGACTATCAGCTTAGGATGCAACTGCACTGAAGTTTACCCTTTGTTTTGTGCCAGAGTTGTCTCATTGTGTTTTCTTTCAACTATATGATGTACAGCTAATTATGAGTCTTTTTATGAGCATTTGCTTTTCGTTAAGCCAACAAGTTCTCTTTTTCTTCTTTTTTTTTTGGGGGGGGGAGTAATTTGACTTGCTTATTTTTGTCACAATTTGTTTTATGTGTCATTGCTTCTATTAGTCTGAAGGAGCAGTGGCTGGTGTGACACTGATAGTGATGTGTGTTTCAAAAAAAAAAAATGAGACAAGTGACATAGCAGTCAACTGATGCCACAACTTGTGAGACTGCAGCACTAATAAAATTCTTTTCCAGTATAGTGCTATGTAAAATTCGCACTGCAGTTATACAAAGTTGTTATATCAATTCATATATAGGCTCCCCTGATAGGAGGCCACTGGAGGCTTATAGTGTTTGTAATATCTGATTATTTGTTAAATGCACAGACTGAGCAAAGCTGGAGGCACAACTTAACATTCATACAGACTTTTAAATCTATTGCCCAACATCGTATTCACAGAGAGGGAAACAGCCCACTCTCAAAATGATTCTAGTACTCACTCGTCCTCCAGATTTTCCTTCCAAAACCTTTAAGCAATACCAGCTGATGCCCATTGCCATCCTATTGCATTGCCCTAAAGTACCAGTCTCCATTGCTCTAGGATAAAGTCCACTCCCTCCCAATATACACACATCTCGATCTCATTATCCTTTGCTCTTGGAATATAGAAAGAAGAATGCCTTCTACACCCTTCTCTCATTTTTCCCCTATTCCAGAGGGATTCCCATCAAGTCACAGGCTTCAGAAAATTAGCTCTCCTGAAAATACAGCATCAGAATATTCTAAGCAATTGATCTGCTATTGTCTAGTTGTTTCCTATTCCCCGTTTAAGCAATTCCTTACACCGAGCGACAGATTAGGACTCAGGAGATTTGAGTATGAGTGCCCTGCTCAGCCATGGAAACCCACTGGGAGAGTGGGGTAGCAGCACTGGTAAAATCACTCCTTAAATATCCCAGCTGCCTTGTAAGACCTATTTGGGTCACCATAAATTGGATGCAACTTGATGGCACATAAAAACCCAAAATACACGGATGATCTTATTAACAGAATTCTGATAAGACAACCTAGCAATGTTTGCCCTTCACACAAACCCCTTCTAAAGAGTTTGTTGAGTTAGGAAAAGGGGAGGGGAGAAATCTCTGGTTGACTGGAGCAGGACGTACCACAACACTTGCTCTGCTTGTTCGGTAGGTGTCTCTAGCGCCTTCTGTATCTGTCCTGTCAGCACTTTAATGGCCTGAACAAACTCTGGGGATTAACAAACCACCCATAGATTGTCCCCAAATTTTTAGGGCATTACGGCACAGAAGAAAGATTCCTGAGTGTAGAACATCAGATATATTAGATACATGTATGTATGTATGTATGTATGACTTGTTCAGTAGGTGTCTCTAGCGCCTTCTATATCTGTCCTGTCCTGTCAGCACTTCAATGGCCTGGACAGACCCTGGGGATTAACAAACCACCCATAGATCGTCCCCAAATTTTTAGGGCATTACAGCACAGAAGGAAGATTCCTGAGTGTAGAACATTAGAGGTGTGTGTGTGTGTGTGTGTGTGTGTGTGTGTGTGTGTGTGTATCCATTCACTCATTCATTCACTCACTCATTCATTTCCTTTCTGTCCCATCTTCTTTCCAGTGTAGTCCCATCTTCTTTCCAGTGCAGAAGCTCGCAAGACAATGTTGTTGTTGTTTTAAGATACAACTAGAAAACGATTATATATATACATATATATATTTTAAAAGGAAATATGTGACACTATTGAAAGTCTACTAATTTAAAAATAATTCAAAACACTTTAAAAACACACAAGGATTCTTGTTAAAACACCTTTCTGAGCGACCCATTCCTTTGGGTGAAATCCTACCTAAAAAGATGGATCTTTTCCCACCAGTGGAAGGACAGACGGGAAGAGGCCCTCCTGAGCCACCTCGGGGAGGGGGAGAGGGGGCTTCCACAACCAGTGAGCAGCCACTGAAAAATGTCTCCCTTGTATCCCCACCAGACATGACTTTGAAGGTACTGTGACTGAGATAAAGCCCACCTTTGAAGGTCTTGAAAGCCAGATAAACTCATATTGTGGAAATATGACCCTTCAATAAAAAAGGTAAAGATTCCCCTTGACAATGCTTCCACAACCAGTGAGCAGCCACTGAAAAATGTCTCCCTTGTATCCCCACCAGACATGACTTTGAAGGTACTGTGACTGAGATAAAGCCCTCCTTTGAAGATCTTGAAAGCCAGATAAACTCACATTGTGGAAATATGACCCTTCAATAGGCTGGGCTTAATTTCTATAGGGCTTCATAGATCAGATCCAACACTTCAAGCTGATCTAAAATCTATGCCAATTGTTAGTTATGCTGGCAGGCATAACTAACAGGATTTTGACCTAGAGGTACTATAAAAAAAGGTCTAGGTTGATGATGCTGGATGCTGCAGTGGCTCTCAACTCTGGCACCATTCATCCAAGCACCAGTCCTGAGAAAAGAGTTAGAAACCCAGTCCATGTGCCCTTTTCATTATAAGAATCAGAACCTCCGCCTCCCACTTCATGTACAACTGGTCCAAACCTCTTTTTATACTTGCTTTTTTAGCCCAGAGTTTCACCAGATTCAAGGAAGAAAAGGCTGCTTACTTCTTTTTCTTGTCTTTTAGGCAGACAGTGTCTGGATGGATATTAAGGATGATGATGACCTCCCCACAGCAGAGGAATTGGAAGACTGGATAGAGGATGTACTTTCTGGAAAAATAAACACTGAAGATGATGATGTAGATGAAGATGACGACGACGACGATGACGATGACGACGATGATGATAATGACTAGGTTACGTCCCTCTGAAACTTGGACTTCGAAATCTGTATGCCTCAGGATGTTACATCTCATGTTACTCCTCCTCTGAAGGAAAGACATTTACCTATAGGATTTGCAAAAGCTCTCTTTAAGAGTCACTGAAGATTCCTTTCCCTTATTTCCTGTCCTTTATCCCCTTTTCCAAAACATTTCCTGTTGAGGTTCTAAAAGGTGTTTGCCAGGCATAAGGCATACTGAAACTAATTAAAACATCTCTGTACATCTCTGTTTTTACATTTGTTTTTACATTGAAAGGAATAAGGCGCGGGCGACGGAGGTGGGTGGGGAGGAACCGAATGATGCGAAAATCTTAAGTGAGTTACATTTGATTTGAAGGAGGATTAACTGGGATATTCTTATTTTCTCTGGTACTTAGGCTGATCTGTGTTTTTATAAGACCTTCCCAAGATAAGGGATATAGAGAATCATCAAGGCAGACTGTTCCTCAAAAGGTCAGAGGTTGTGACCAAGTGGGATATTGCACACGGCTGCAGTCAGTGCTTACGGAAGGGAAACTGAGATTGTACCTGCTAGTGCTAAATGTGTTTGGTATAACTTGTGATGCATATGATCACACAGTAATGTTGAGGCATTGCTTTCCTGGGCAGTTTATAGGCTGGTTCACAAGTCATGCCAAAACCGCAGAAAAGATGACAGAGAGGGCCAGTGGGGAATGCTCCCACTCTCCCCTCTCTACGTATTGACTGTGTACCCTTTGCATTATCCTACTATCACAGTTCCTGGTGAAAGCCTGTTGATCTCAAGCTTTTATTTACAAGCAGCTTTCGCCTTATGGCATCATGCTGTTGAGCTTGGGTTTGTGGTGCCTTCTGTGCTATCCATGTGTCATCTCTGACAGTCAGTGCTTACGCTTAATGATTGCCCCACTCTATGATTAAATCGCTGTACGATTAGGTTTTTGTGATCGCTTTTGCGATCGCAAAGCAATGTTTTAAATGGTTTTTTCGTTTAATGATGATTGGTTCCCTGCTTCAGGAACCGATTTTCACTTTACGACAATCAGCAAACAGCTGATCATTGGGTTTCAAAATGGCCACCGGCTGCTTAAAATGGCTCCCCGCTGTGTTTTTGGATGGATTCCTCGCTTTACAGGCAGCGAAAATGGCCACCCTTATGGAGGATCTTCGCTGGACGGTGAGTTTTCAGCCCATTGGAACGCATTGAGGGGTTTCCAGTGTGTTTCAATGGGCTTTTTTATTTCGCTTTACGATGTTTTTGCTCTACAGTGATTTCGCTGGAACGAATTAACGTCGTTAAGTGAGGCACCACTGTAATTTCTTGGTCACATGACACCTTGCGCTAATGAGGGCTCTGAGGCAAGACTCTGTATAATATACCATCAGCCACCCAATACTGTTCCTTCTTGTTGAAACACCCCTGTCAGACAGGGGTGCCCTGAATCTGCTTGGAACAGCCTTTTTCCCTTTTTTGGGGAGATGTAGTGACTAAAAAAAAAATCATTGGAAAAATAGCACCTATTGTTGTTATGGGCCGTGAAGTCACTTCTGATTCTGGCGACCCGGTGAATCAGTAACCTCTAAAAGATCATGGCACCAGCAACCCAGCTCTTGTAAACTAAAGAGTGTAGCTCCCTTTGTTGAGTTTGTCCATCCTCTTCAGGAATTAGTGGCTGCATCAGTGGACAAGAATTGGTAGTTCCAGCGGTGATGATGATGATGATAACTCCATACAGTAGAAAAGTGCTTTAAAAGAACGAAGACTTCCCATGCAGCTACATTCCCTGCATTCTTTGTAAAGTAAGAGGAGGGCACGGATCTTCCCACGGTGATACATATGAAATTTTGACAGCTCATAGATTAAATAAGGGGTGAAACCCAAGCCCTTCAATATTCTTATGACCCCTTTACATTTTATAAGATGCAGAACACATCTGAGAACTGTTCTGCTGCTAGAAACTCGACTGCTGGTTTCTGTGGCTCAGATTAAACCTGTAGAACTCTCATGAGAAGTTATTTCTCATGGGAGTAGCATAGTTATTAACACACGTCACAAACATGCATGGTCGACAATGAAAAACATACGGACTGTCTCCAGTGGGACGCAATATCGTGCCACGCCATACAGGAAGGAAAGGTGTGGCCTCAGGGAGGGACTGTCAGGGTGCTGAAAGACTGGCTGGAGTTTATCTTGGCCCCCAAACATTTGTGGGCTCAGGTTGCAGCCCTTGCTTGGTAGTAGAGGGGTTTTTTTCACCCTAAATACAGCCACAGATCTACAAACCAGTCTTTCTAGAGAGAAGAGTCTGTGAACAGACCTTGAAGACATCTGCTGGGTATCATCCTATCTCCGGACACCATTCAAAGCACTGTTTTTGATATTGAAAGCTCTAAATGGTCTAGCCCTCGGGTAGCTGAAGAACCTCCTGCTCTCCGTATCAACTTGTTTAGTGCTCTGGAAACCTGAATCTGGCTGTTGTGATGATGAGAGCGCCCTGTCCTGAAACAGACCTTCTTGGCAGCAATTTCTTAGTTGAGGGACCTCCTTCTCTCTTTTCTGATCACCTGGTGCCAAATCTTACATCCTAAGAAGACTCCCTGGAAAAGACCCTGATGCTGGGAAAGTGTGAGGGCAAGAGGAGAAGGGGAGGACAGAGGATGAGATGGTTGGACAGTGTCATCGAAGCAACCAACATGAATTTGACCAAACTCTGGGAGGCAGAGAAAGACAGGAGGGCCTGACGTGCTCTGGTCCATGGGGTTATGAAGAGTCGGACACGACTTAGCTAAACAACAACAACTGGAAAATGGGTGTCCTGGCCAATCATCTCAATCTAGAGTAGGACAGAGGATTTAACTCTGCTTATTCTTCTAGACTTCTCAGTAGCCATTTTTAGACCAGTGTCTAAAGCCCCCCCAGGATGCTGAAAAAAGCACCCTCCCATGCTGAAAAATGCAGAATGCTATTCTACCAAACGCTGTACATAGCGTGGTCTCTGTCTCCATTTGATGGCCAGTTCTGGTAATGACACCATGGAAATCTATTTCTTCAGTGAATGCCATACATTCCAACCTCAGTATTTTAGCATGGCCATAGAATCATAAAATAGTGAGGTTGGAAGGGGCCTAGAAGGCCATCAAGTCCAACCCCCTGCTCAATGCAGGAATACACATCAAAGCATGTCTACCAGCTGATTAAGTTTCTCTTCCATCTTCCAGTGGTCTCTGGCTCCCTCTAGTGGCCAGTTCTGGTAATGTCATATGTAGAAATTTTTCTTTTAATACTGTATTGTTAATGTATTTTCAGACCAGATAAGGGAATCAGCAGATACTGATCCCGCTGATAAGGAGGTCCTACTGTATTCCATTTTTGGGCAAGATCTTGGAGCGTGTTGTTGTGGCATCTCAGCTCCAGAGGTTCCTGGATGAAGTGGGTTATCTAGTTCAGTTCAGTGCTTCCCAACTTTGGGTCTCCAAATATTCTTAGATTAAAATGGTCACAAATCTTGGTCAGCACAGCTAGTGGTGAAAGCTTCTGGGAGTTTTACTACAAGAACACCTGGGGACTCACGGTTGGGAACCATTGGTCTACCCCCATTTGAGTCTGGCGTCAGGCCTAGTTATGGAACAGATACAGCTGTGGTTGCTTGGTGGATGACTTCTCCAGGAACTAGACAGGGGTTCTGCTGGACCTCTTGGTGACTTTTTTTTAAACCATTCACCATCATATCATTCTGAGCCGTTTCTCTGGGATGGGACATGGAGGCTCTCTTTTATGGTCACTAGCAGTGGTTTTCCCTCGGTTTGCCCTTTGTTCGATTACAGCATCATTTGTCTTCTCAGAGAAAGGGTTGGTTGTTGAAGGAAAAGAAGTGCTACCACACCACACATGTAACAATACCTGACTTCAGTTTATTTCAATTTAACTGTACAAATATGCAAAGTGTAAAATGGTTTTAATATTTTAGTTTTTAAAAACCCCACCAGATATTAAATTTGAGAACCCAGCTTCATCCCAGACATTTGATGATGGCCCAAGACAGTGCACGCAAATATAAATTCCATTTAATTTACTTCAGTCCACATTTAGAACAACAAAAAAATCACACAGTGTATATCATTGACATTAAAGTTACATGTGCAGAGAAGCTTTCTTTTTTTAAAAGAGAGAGCGCATTTATATCATACTTAATACAATTTGCACAGAAATATTGATAGGCTGAACATAGCACAGTAATAAAAGAGAGGAATGTTCAGCAGAAATACCCACCCTTAATACACCACAATGCTGGATTAAACAACAGGCACTGAGGAGAGTTACAATACTTCACAGTTAGGTCTATGTGAGTGGTATACAGTGGACCCTCGACTTACAGACGGCTCGACTTACAGACTTTTCGAGTTACAGACTTCTCTGGCTGCAAAATTTAGATTCGACTTGCAGCCAGAGAATCGACTTACAGACCAGAAAAAAAACCAAAATGGAATAAAAATAGAATAAAAACCACTGGTTATGGGATTAATCAGTTTTCAGTGCATTGTAGGTCAATGGAGATTCGACTTACAGACTTTTCGACTTGCAGCCACCATTCCAATACAGATTAATTCCTTAAGTAGAGGGTCCACTGTAGTGGACAGAGTGATGGGACTAGGATCTTGGAGAGCCAGATTCAAATCCTTGTTGAGCCATGGATTGCTCACAGGGGTGGGGATTAGTAGAACCAGTCCTTGGAGTAGCTCACTCACCTTGGAAGCCATACGTTGGTTACACAACTTGACGGCATAAAATACGCACACAAGTGGCAGAAGAGAGCAAACAACAAGAGTTAAGTGTGGTCTTCAAATAATGTCAGGTGAGGGGGAAAAGGTGGCATCAGATCAAAACAGCTAGAGACGATGAAGTAGTGTCTGCCTAGGTGGCAGTTCCCAGTTTCACGGTAACACTGGTGCAGCCCAAGTGCTTGGCCATAGACTCTAAAGCCCCTTGTATTCATCCACATTTGATCTTCATGCTATTATATGAACACTGCTGATCTTCTCAAAGCATTATGTTCTTTGAATTGTTAATCCATTGTGGTGAAGATGTTAGCACCACCTACCACATTGGCCAGCTAGGATTTTTAAGGGAGAGGATGAGGACGTCAATTTGTTTACACCAAGAAGGCAAACGTACAAAGAACATGCCATCACTGTTATGACATCTGTTGACTGCTCTACATGACCACAGGAATGGATGCACAGATAAAAAC